GCCTCCTCGCTTCTTTTGATCGGTGACGTGAAGAATCATGAAATTTAGAAGCTTTGTAGGCGACATCTCTATAACATTTAATTACGGCAATCCTAACACATGTTTTTTAACGCAATTGCGAACGCACTACGGCCCTTCTTTTTGAAATACCAAAATCGGGAGTTCGTTGTGGGGCCGTCTCCTGGATTTGTATCCTCCAACGGAAAACAGGCAACACCGCTCAAAACCGGTCCGCCGGAAAGCCGCCGCTCGCTCCTTTCCCCCTCGCTTTGGGTCGCCATGGCAACAGCAGGGAGTGGTGAAATAAAGGGGACTCTCAGGTCTCCGCAATTTTTGACGTCAAGGCACCGGCGCCGATCGCGCGGGAACTTCGAATTCGGCATTTGGAAATTGTTTGTTTACTTCACGAATACTGAATTCCCAAATTTCAAATTTTGAGGGTAATGTCCCGGCATCGTTTTCAATCGTTTCGGATAATAAAAAAAAATATGATTTTGATGTGTCAGTGCCCCTTTAAGGTCGGTAGGAATTACCAGCACCCATGGCGTACTGTTGTATCCGAAGCCCTCTTTGTAAAATACATCTTGTCAGAGGACGAAGGTCGGCAGGGCTCTCGACAAGACACGGGGGACAGTGATGCCTCGCCCTTCGAGGTGCTCGATTAGCACGCGCAACTCAGGATCGTCTCTTTGACGTCGAGCCATGTCGTCGGTGTTGTGTGCGCTTAGGAAGCACTCGTCCTCATTGTCATCGTTGCTGCCGGAAGATGTTTCGACGGGGGCTCTGGACAGGCAGTCGGCGTCGCTGTGCTTGCGGCCTGACTTGTAGACCACAGTCGTGTTGAACTCTTGTAGTCGGAGACTCCATCGAGCGAGGCGTCCTGACGGGTCCTTCAGGTTCGCAAGCCAGCAGAGCAAGTGGTGGCCCGTGACTACACGGAACGGGCTCCCGTACAAGTACGGACGAAACTTCGTGATTGCCCCAACGACCGCAAGGCATTTTTCTCAGTCGTGGAGTAAATTTTCTCCGCCTTGGACAGTGCTCGACTTGCGTAGCCGATAACTCATTCAGTGTCCTCTTGAACTTGAACCAGTACCGCGCCGTCCAGCGTTACTTGCATCCATGTGATTTTCGGTTTTCGCATCTTGATCGAAATGTCCAAGAACAGGAGGACTCTGCAGTCGTCGCTTCAGCTCGTCGAATGCCTGCTGCTCCTCCTCGGCCCATTCGAACTTCTCGGCGCCCTATGTAATGTTTCTGAGCGGTGCGGAAATCACTGTGAAATCCCAAACGAAGCGCCGATAGTAGGCACATAGTCCAAGAAACCTTCGCACGGCCTTCTTGTCTGTCGGCGCTGGAAATGCTGCTACGGCGCGAGTCTTCTCTGGCTCGGGGCGAACGCCTTCGTTACTAACCACGTGACCTAGGAACTTCAGTTCGTCGTAGTCGAACCGACACTTTGACGGCTCAAGGTGAGTCCGGCGGCCCGTATGACTTAGAGAACAGCTCGGAGCCGTCGCAAGTGCTCGTCGAAGTCGCTGGGAAACACAACAACGTCGTCGAGGTAGACGACAGCTCTGCTACTTCAGTCCCGCCAGTACGGTGTCGATGACACGCTGGAAAGTTGCTGGCGCCGTGCACAGTCCGAGGGGCATCACCTTGAACGCGTATAGTCCATCCGGTGTGACGAAAGCTGTCTTCTCTCGGTCCCATTCGTCGCTGCCGGCCTAAAGCATCGTTGATGCGTGGGGGTGGATAGACGTCTTTTTTCGTCACCGCGTTCAGCTGCCGGCACTCCACGCAAAACCTAAGCGTTCCGTCCTTCTTCTCAACCAGTACGGCTGGAGAGTCCCATGGTTTGCTTGAAGGTTGAATTATGTCGTTGTTCAGCATATCTTAAACTTGCTCCTGGATCACCTCCCTTTCTTTAACGGAAACTCTGTGCAGCGATCGGCGCATAGGGCGCGCGTTTCCCTCGGTAACGATGCGGTGCTTCACAACGGCGGTTTGCGCACCTTTGCCGACGTCGCAGAGCAGTCGCGTTATTCGGCAAGGAGGTCAATTAGCCGCCGTCGTTTCGGGCCCGGAAGCTTAGGGTCCATGTCGAGTTGCGTTGGCGACGTACTGCCTTGCTGAGGTGGCGAGGATGCGACAGTAATGGCGACGATCTCGGCAGAGTTTCAGAGCTCCTCGACGTGGCCAATGGCTGCACTTTTAGTAAGGTTTTGCGTTTCATTTCGGAACTTCATCACGAGGACCACAGTACGGCCATCCTGGAGTTCAGCTACTACTCTTGAGACTCCTGTTCCTCTTCCTAGAAGGAACTGGAGGCTTTCCTCGAACAGAACTTGGCCGCCGAGAGCTTCGGTGACCCCGACGGGCACGAAAACACTCGACCGCGGCGGTAAGTTCACGTAGCTTGCGAGGATTGGACGGCGGATTATGTCGCTTCGGGTTCCTCTGGTGGTGAAACAGGTTTTCGTAACATCAACCGGTTTGCTCCGAGGTCGAGGACGACGCCATTCTCGCAGAGAAAGTCTATATCGAGGATAATGTCCCTCGCACAGCCTTGCAGAATGACGAACGTCGTGAATCTCGACACGGGAAGTGCTTCTCCCGACTGGTATAATGAGGTGCCCACCGGCGGTTCGTATCTGAGGGCCTTCCCACGGCGTCGTCACTTTTCGTAGGCGGCGAAAAAGCCTCCCACTCAAGACTGATTAGTCTGCTCCGGTGTCCACGAGCGCCGATGCGTCGTGGCCGTTGATAATAACTTTTAGGTTGTTGGACACCGATGCAGTGGCATCGTTGTTGTGCGCAGCGTCGGAAGAGTGGAAGCGCTCTTTCGTTCATGGAGGCTCTTTACTTCGGTAGTCTACGGAAACGCCACCTCGAGGCGTTGCCGCACTTAGTGTTCACGGAGACGCAAAGGAGATAGGCTCTCTCGGTGGGGTGGTGGCGCTGGAGACGCTGAACGTGTGGGCGACGGTGAGCGGGACTCACGACGGAGAAGCGGCGTTGAAGATGGCGAACGTCGGAGGTACTCCTCAATGTCACAAAGGCGTTCGTCGCACCTTGGGCGCGGGTCATTCGGGTGCAACCCGCGCAGACCCAATTGTCATTAGTAGCTTCGACGGTAAATGTGGCCGGTTTCACCGCAATGAAATCACAACGGGGGTCGATCGGCCGTCCTCCACACGTCGGTCTTTGGTGGCGCAGCTTGTTTTGGGCGGACGAACGCCCGATCTTCCTGGCGTCGGGAATACTGCGGAGCTGGACTTTCACGTCGGGGTGGCGCCGTATACGGGTGAGCAGGGGCGGTGGTCGTCGGGTAGCTGCGGCGTAGCCCAGCTTCGGTGGTTCACTAGTGACGCTGACAAGAACTTCTGGATGCAGCGCCTGTTGAACTTCTTCCCGGACAATCTCGGCGACTGAGGGCGAAGCCGGGCTTGTGGCAGCAAGTAGCAGCTTCTTATTTCCTCCCGCACGACGTCCCGAATAATCTCGCGGAGGTCCGGGCTGTTGCAGCTAGAAGTCGAGAAGGCAGCGACGCCGGCAAGTCTCTGGTAATGGGAGGCCCGTGCTTGTAGGGCACGTTCGATGTTTGTTGCCTTTGTTACGAATCCTTTGACTGTGATAGGCGGTGCTCGCACAAGGCCGCCGAAGATGTTTTCCTTGACGCCTCACATCAAGATTCTCAGCTTCTTTGCTTCGCAGGCTTGAGGATCGGCGCGGTTGCTGAGTCGCAGGACATCTTCCACGAAGCTAACAACGTCCTCGTTAGTGCCTTAGATCCTCGCTTGAAGAAGCCCTTCCGCGCGTCCTCTTCGTTGTTGGTTCGTGAATGTTCTTCGCAACTTAGCCTTGAATTGCTTCCAGGAGGTGATCGATGCTTCGTGCTTCTCGAACCAGTCCCAGGCGGTTGCTTCCGAGGCAAAGTAGGCATACTGAATACACTGTTCAGGTGTCCACCCGTTATGACGGGCCACTCGTTCGTACTGTTGGACCCAGTTGTCAATGTCTCCGTGGCTTTCGCCGTGGAAGGGAGTTGGTGTCCGAGTAGCGACGGGTAGGTACCCTATTGAAAATATTTCTAAAGGGCCCGTCAGCCTTGAAGGATTATGGGACCTCACAGGCCTTCAAAACCCTTCAAAAATACCCCACAGAAAAACCCTTCAAGGATACCCCATAAAAAAACCCTTTAGCCCCACAGCCCTTTAACCCGTCAGGCCCTTTAGCCCATCAACCCTTTAGACGCCCAAATGACTGTGAACCATAGACAAAAATGCAGGTCAAAACACTGAAAATTTATTGCCGACATTTAGTTTTACATGCATATTATAACTCAAAAAGCAACGTTTGTTCAAACCCGGCGCAAGGAGCTGTAGACGAAAGGGATCACATCAAACAGGGAAAACTGACATCCTTATCACAAAGAAAAATACCTTTCAAAGTACTCACAATGCCGCTGGGTATATTCCTGATGTACGGTAGTTCAGCTAATAAAACCGAGCAGGTGCACCTCACGGACACATACACAGTCTCAGTAAGCACGTTTAGCGAAAACCACAAACTCGTAAGCAGCACCCGCCGCCGTTGAGAAATCCCGAGCACAGTCACGGTTTCGTCCATGATGACATCGCGCCGGAGTCTTCGGCGTATTTTTCGCTCGCTGGTCTGAAGTCGGACGGACGAAGAGGCGCAAGGAACAAGTCCGGACAGCGGCCGTCATCCACTGTCTCAACACCCACAGTGCCGTAATCCCGGTGCGCAGGCACAACATGCGGTGGGACGCTGACCCCGACTGCCAGGCTTTGCAGCGAGTAAGCCGACGCCGGCCACCATCTCCTTGAATGCGCTGAACACAATGGCGCTCGAGCGGTGCTGAAGGCGGCCTGCGCCGAACTATAGTTCACCTGCGGTACCAAGAAAGAAACTGCACGGATCAAAACAGACCAAGGGGCGAGCCCTCAAAACCATGCATGCTCACCTTCCTGGAGGAAATTGGTCCGCTCCAAACATCCCGGCTCGTGGGATAACCGGAACCGCACACGAGCAGAGAGAAAATGGCTATGGCCTCCCCCGCTTGCACACACCACCCTCTCCCCCCGACCGCTGGCCTGGCAGCCCTGCACCCTCTCCCCATCGCCGGGCGGAGAGAGGCGATTGCTTTTTGGGGACAGTCTCCCGTGGGGGGACCGGTTCCCGGAACGAGTCGCTCCCGCGTGCGTCCCTGTTCCTGGAAAGCGCGCACTGCTCTCGGCTTGTTCTTTTTTTTTTTTTTTTTATACATGGTTGCACGTATTTCGCCTCGAGCGGACAGGATTGCGTTCGCCTCAAAACGCCGCTCGGCCAACACCACTCGGCCCGCGGCTCGTCAATTCTCCACATGGGCGGTCGCCCTCAGTAGCTCTTTCGCGACCGAACACCCGGGCAGTGACAGACGGGTCCAGGAGCCCACTCGTATTTGATAGAAGAGCAGTAATAAAAATCTGACCGTACTCACACGCGATCGGCATTCTCCAAATACTTATTTTTTTCCCCCGTAGCGTACAATAAGCAGCTATGTTCATTAATTCTGCGAAATGTGTTTTTTCCACCTGGGCCGTGGCCCACACAGACATATCAAGAGGCCTGAAGGTTTTCCCGACCCCATTAGAAAAGTTCTTGACAGGCTTTCAGACATTTCAAGGCATTGTAAAGGGGACTTTAGACATTTCAGGAGAGCCTCTGACGGGGCCAGTGAACCCACCAGGAAATATCGGTGCCCCCGTCAAACATCTCAGAAATTCCTGAAGTCCCTTTCACACCCTTTAAAAAAATCCTGAAGTCCCATCAGAGCGATTTTCAATAGGGTAGGCGACGGCAGAAGCGGGGGGGGGGGGGGGGGGGGGGGGGGTCTGCGGCTAGTTGGCCATCGTTGTCGTCTTCGGCTCGGGCTTGTCCAGCAGCAAACCGTTCTCAGGATCCTTTTCCTTGGTGCAGCGGCTGGTTCGAGTTTCGGGATCCGCGTTCAGCGGTCTTCGCACTGAGCCTGAAATCAGACTTTCACTGCGGGCCTTGGAGGGGATCGCTGCACGGACATGCGGTACCCCGCACCTCCACCAAAATGTCACGAATGACAAGGTGAAACAAAAAACACCTGGGGAAACTGAAACGTTTAATGGAGCGAACTTGTGCCCAAAAATAAAAAAGGAAACAGAAGACAATAGCAAGCGTCGCCGGCGTCGAAGTCGGGGTAAGAGCAGAGTCCAACGCTGGGGCGAGACTGACCGCAGGTCGCCACGCGGAGCCCCTTATGTACGCACGTTGGCTTCTGGGAAAATCGACCTAGAACGTTCGACGACTAGAACATTCGGAACTCGATCAGACGAGAATGATCTCGAACTCACGAGAATGCAATGTTGAAATAATAAATAAAAGAACATCCCACTGACTGGAATTGAACCTAAACTTTCCGAGCGACAGTCACGCGTGGTAACCACGTGGTCACACGTGGCAATATATAGGAAAGTTTAATACACCAACTGTGACGAGGATCACATGAGATGATTCTATGATGTGGAGGGATTTTGAATTAGCGTATCTGACAAAAATATTAAATGATGTGACTGCTTCATCACCAGCATGGTATCAGTGCTTCTGGTTGTACTTATACAGTTTATTGTCGAGTAGAGAACGTCGTCCTGTAAGTAAATGCCCTATGTCAGCTGATTTTGCTGGACAGAGCTCAAAATTACTTTTCATTGCGCAACAAAAAAATCTAAACACGTTTCCTTCTCGCCTTCTTTCCACTGGTGACGCACATTTTATCATTCGCCAAAAATCCTAATACAGCGAAAACTGCTATTTGACATGACTCTCTGCATATGTAAAATAAAGGTCATCAAACTATATAAATAAAAAAGGAAGACATAAAAAGATTGCTATTACTAGAAAGTATTTACAACGCGAGGTGCAAAAAATTACTTCCTAAGCGAGCAAGACAAAGATGCAGTTCTGTTGGAAAGAAGACTTTTTTTTTTTTTTTAAATATATCGAGAGAGTGCCCTTTACACACTGAGAGGTTGGTGTCATGCAGTTGTTTTATTTATATGAATAGTTCACTTGAGAAACAAACGGCTTTGAAGATGTGTGAAAAGAATCCAGGCAGTTTGCTTGTTAGAGAAGGTGAAACCTCCCTAATTGCGAGAGTCACTCTCAAAGACACGTGTTCGTTGCGAGTTAATTAGGGCTCGCATCGTATCACGTGTGTGTCATTTATTTGTGGCATAATCTTACTTATCAATGCCACTATTACATGCAAATTCATGAAAGGTACAGAACGTTTTATATACTTCGATTTCAACATTTTAAAGCATATTTTTGATGAAATCGATTTTTCAGCAACCCGACCAGCCGCACAAATACCGAGCGTTTTTCTTGTCGAGGTGGCAATGGTGTTCGATCAGCACCACAGAAAGCAGTTCAAGACTACAAGAAGCCTCGTGCGATACGCTGGAGTCGCTGTTCAACTGGTATGACGCCTTAACTTGGTGAATTGTATCCCGCAAGTTTGATTTAGTTTTCTGTGTGTCACAGTCTTGTCTATTCATGACGTGCGTAAACAAGCCGCTTAAGCTGTTCCTGAATGTTATTTTTTTCCCATAATCCAGAAATATTATTAGAGAGTTATTAGCAACTGTAGAGTTGTCATACGTATTCTCACTTGCTGTGTGCTGGTCATGACGAAGAAATATACTATTCAAATATGAACCCGAAACATCTTTTAACCGCTCCGCAGTGAATAAAATGGTGGCATCAGACAATAAGAACTGCGAAAAAGGAACCATTAATCAAGGTGCATGATCATAATAGACGGAAATCTGCGTCTCATAAGCCGCCAGTGACTATTGTTTAGAAGATGATTCAGAACCAATTGCCTTAACAGGATGTATTATTATTAAAGGCACTTTAAATACCTAAAGAAGACAGTGATATACCCATTCAAAACATGATGAAAACGGTAGGGGGTTCTTAAATTGTCGCACTTCTAGCAAAAGCCTTTTACTTTTCATAAGGCTTCTATATCTTGTGAGCGCTTCCAGGGTGCACGCCCATTCAAAAGCTTGGCGGAGGGCAACGGTCAAGAGGTGGAGTCCGGAGACTGGAAAGAGGCTTCCTACAGTCCTCATCTTGTCAGTTTAGAGAAAAAGCGTGGATGAATATTTTTATACAAATAGCATTTTGAGCGCTTCCTCTTCGTTTGGCAATGCGTAACAATATATTGTAATAATGTGGACACACATTTTAAACTGAACACCAGAAATTAAAAAAAATAGAAATATGCAAAACCGTGTTGATGCCATATACATCTTTTTTTTTGCCGTCATTTTGGCGTTTTAAGTGTGCTTGACTAAAACCTCGTTTCCTGTCTGTTTACTTCGTCTTCTATAAACTCAACAACATATACGTTTTGTGGTGCTCCGATAAATTTGAGGTGGACAGTTTAATTCGCAACTCAAAAAATCTGCGCTTAATCACTCTATTCTTTTTTCGCTATGCTACCGCCAGGCCCCGGCAGCTTTTGCTGCACACATTCCTAGGTAGTTGCTCCTCGCTTCTCTCGTTCGCGTCTCTTCCGCTGGGTGGGGTCGCTTATTTGCGTTTTGGAAATACGCTGATAGAAAACACGCTTTAATATTTACCACACTTTTTTTCAAGGTCAACATGCGATACGACGTCACTTCGCATCCAAGAGTTCAATTTATTCTGGTTGCTGTTCTTGAGTTGACAGAGGTATGTTGTTCATATGGGCTTCTCTGTAGCAAACACTGTTTGCTATGCGTTAATAAGACGCGTGTTATTTAACACCCTTTTTTTTGTCTAGATGAACACCATTATGAGAGAAGTAGTAGCGCGAGATAAGTTGAAGCCGCCCGGTTACACTAAAAGATACATCCGGGCGACCCAAACGCTTGAGAATTTGAAGGAGGCAATCAACTCGGGGAGGATCGAGGTTACCGCAGACCTCGTCACCTTGGTTACATCGTAAGCACAATGAAGTTCTACCCTCCATTTTGTTTATTTATTAATTTTTTATTTATTTTTCATTTCAATAATATCGTCGGCCTACTTTTCTGGGCCAAGGCATGTGAGTACGTATGTGACATTTACAACAGCATAGCTCTAGTTATACATAGCTTCAAGAAACATAGTTGAGAAAAAATAAAAGGCATATAGTACAAACGCTTCCTAATAAACAGAGGTGACAATTGGCAAATGATTAGTCAAATGCATTCAAAACTCCATCTAAGGCACTGATAACCGCGTCGAAGGTGGCACTGCATCAGTTTCGGACAGTTCTCGGAAAAAAAGAGTAGTTAAAAATGTATTTCCTAATCTGAAACTCTCGAAGATGTTCATGCTTCTGCCGCGTGACTCGACTGATATTGTACACCAGATAGTCTTTGGTCTTAATTCCAACCTTGTCCTTTATTAATTTATACAAAAACTTCAGACGCTTCACTTTTATGCGGGTCGATAACTGATTTAATCCGGATAACGTATAAAGGGATGACACAGACGTCTGTATTCTTATGAAATATTCGTAAATTAGAGTGCCTTTTCTTGCACTCCCTCAAATTTGTCAATCATTAACTGTGAATACGGGTACCATAGAATGTCCGCGTATTCTAATAATGGACGAATCAAAGTAGTTTACGCAGCAAGCTTAGTTTCCGGGGTGCAATGTCGCACAGTCCTTCGAAGACTTCACAGTTTACGAGACGCTTTTGCGGTAATAAACCAGTAATGTAAAGTGATTAGCCAAGAACCATAAATCATTAAAAGCAATCTGTACGGTTAGGAAGGAATTTTAGCGGTAGTTTTTTAGGCTATATTAAAAGCTCCCTTTTTGCTTTGCGCAGTGAGTTATACTTCACAAGAATGCCTTCATGTTGCCTGAGACCAAATAGTCGAGCTAGAGTTCGCGACCCATACATTGGGCCACAATTCCAAACACACATTCTGCGCATATCATATCCGCTTTTACGAGGCGGATATATGTGAAGATCACGTATATGAGTATGCGCGGACGCATCTCCGAATTCAGACATCGATGGAGACCACAGTTTAGCATGCTTGTGTTCTAGTCTACCACCTCCGTCAGGCGGGAAATAGTCAATGACAATCCATATGCGACGTTCAGCAAAGAATTTCTTGTCGCTCTTATTTCAAATTAGACGTACAAATAAATTCGACACATTAATACAATTTTTTCGCTGTCTCATACCAGCCTGTATTGTCTAAGATTTCTTTTCATCCCAGATCAGAGCGCGGTTAATGCACGCAAATACGAACACGTATACTGAAACTTCAAGGTCGTGGTGCGTTCACCGCAGTTGATTAGCTCAGCCGATTATAGCTCAAGCACAACACTTGGAGGACACTTAAAGTTCGCCCTTAAGAGTGACACGCCACAGCGTCATCGGGCCGCGTTCGCACCGCCTTGTAATTCGCTTGTCCAGCTGGGAAACGCGAATGCGCTCCGATATCCGGAGAACATATCGCATATCCGAATGGCTGCTGTAGCCTCGCGTCGGCTAAGCTGTCAGGCATATAGAATTTCCCGCTCGTTCACAAGCCTAGCAAGCGTACCTTGCGTGACCTAATCAGTAGCGTGTCTTACTTGCAATCGGATGTTCATTTACAATGAACATCCCTTTAGACATGCGGCAACCTTCAATTCCCATCCCATGCCATGTCGGTTTCATTCGAAGCGTGACATCATGTTTCACTTGAGCTTCCGGAGTTCTTTGATATTCTTGCTCGAGGTCATGTGGCTCTTACGTCATGACTTTATCCACCAATCAGGATTTTCCAGTCACGTAACCCAACGCCGGCTTTTCTGAGAAACGAGCTCCTGAACGCTAGAGCGTTAAAAATACGCCATCGCCACGACCTCGCTATTCTATCACTCCCTGATTGGCCCAGAAAACCTGTTACATTGGCTCAGCTGTCTTGACGTTTATTGATGCGTAATTTCGCTCGAAAACACCAAACCAGCAAAGTGACCAGTCCCAAGAGGCTTTCTCGAATAGGTGTACTGGCCATTTTGTCGGAAGTAGACGAGTTCAACGATGTAAGAAAAGAATATAAAAATATATGAAAAATTTTCCTCGTCTTCCACGCGTAGGGTGCGTTTTGTATGAAGTACCTGATAAATGTGTAATGTCTGTTTGAAAGATTTGTGCTTGCCCTGTGTCCCTCTTGTTCCCCTTCTCCAGGGATTATTTTTGTTATTCTTGTCCAGCTTGCTTCCACCTTCGCATTTAATTGCATTATAATCATAACCTTAAATTGCAAGCTTCAACTTTGTTGGTGTTAGACTGATGGCAACTGGTAAAACACGTTTTCTCTACTGACATCTTACCCCTGGTTAGCTCAGTTGGTAGGGCGCTCCATTGGAAATGGAGAGGTCCCGGGTTCGATACCCGGACCAAAGCTAGGTTACTGGTCGCGCTCCAGTCACCTAGCTTTGCTTGGAGTTCTGTGTTTCTCCTTTGTCCCTCTTGTTCCAACTTCTCCGTGGATTATTTTCGTCATTATTTGTTTATCTTTTTTTTTCTTTGTATATACAAATATGCAGGCTGCTTCTTTCTGTTTCTGTTGTCCCTGACAATTAAAGAAGACAGTAAATTGGTCGTTTGGTTCACACCTGATGCTTAGAGTTTCGTTCTTCGGGTTTCTTATTGGTTCATTCAGCAAACTCAACAGGCGCGAAGGGACAGTCACATTCATAGAACTCGCCAAGCTCTGAGTTTTACAGGCTGTCAGTTAGTGTAGGAAGAGATTTAAAACAGTTCCTGCGTTTTATGCAGAAAACGGGCAAAGTTGAGCGTGTGATTGAAATGTTGGTCTATAAAGCTAAATTGCATTTCTATTGCCGTCTTATTTTTTTTTTTTTTTGCAGAGGTGACCTCGCACATATTGACGATGGTATTATTTCCAACAATGTCATAGGTACGTACGAACTTATCAAGCATTTGCTGCATTTTCTTTATTATTCTCATATTTAAAGAAAAATCTCCGGTTTTATTGAGTGTTTTCAACATACTCATCTATCATATAAGTCCTAAAATACTCGTGTCGTCGATAAAAATAAATGTAAATATAACGAACCCTAAATACGAACGTTATTACCGAGGCCGTGTGCTACTAAATACGACCAAAATAGATTACCGTGCTAGAAACCACGCAGCCGATATCAGGCAGACGCCCTGTGTGCATTTGGCTGGGCATTGCGATCAAAGCCGGTGCCCGCTTTCGTCGTCAAATAAAACCACCTTGAGACAGCACAGCAGACGAACAACTGAAGAAATTCACAAAATCACGTGTCATTAAAACAGTGTGCGCCGGTCTGCCGCCCTGTAAAATTGGGAAAGGTTATTTTAACGCAATAGCGTTAAGGATATTGTGTCGCAGAAAAGCCGGCGTTGATGGCGTGACGGGAAAAACCTTATTGGTAGATAGGGTTATGACGTCACAATTACGTGACCTCGCGCGGGATTTCGAACAACACACAACGCTCACGTAAACTGTTACGTCACGCGTGGAATGCAATTGATAAAAGCATCACTTGCAGTGCGTATTAAACGTCGCCGCCTATCTCAATTGATTTCTTTTTACACAGTAATTCATTTGCATTAGACGAAAATGTGAAGGCGTGATTTAAACCCACAACCCTTTGGTCGCGAGCCAGACACGCTACGCACGACACGCTTGAACGACAAATGAGAAGGCGATGAGAGCAGGTCCCAACAACGCTATCGGGTTCCAATATTAAAGGCGAAGGTTAAATGTCCTCCAAGTTTCTTATAGAGAGAGAGAGAGGGGAGTGGCTGGAACTGAGATGGTTCATTAAGGTATTTATGTCAATGTGTTCACTTGCGAATGCGCTTCTTGTTGCTTTTCCTTATTAGCTTTGTCCCTGACCTTCAGCTCTTCTATCAAGTAAAAAAAAAGTATATTTCAATGCGCAGAACATTTTAAGTGTCCGAAAGTTCATTTTTGGTTTCTCATAAAATGAAAACATCAAGCTGATAATTTTGTGACCAAGGCCAATAAAAGTACGTATTTTAAGCGGAGAAATACACAAATACATCCCGCAGTGTAAAACAAACAAATATTTTGTTGCTTTTTTCAGACCAGTTCTAAAATTAGTTTGTGGTATTTGTGACCCGTTCCAGAGGTAACCTCGAAATCACGATAGATCGCGTTCAAACTCCAGCGCTTTGTGACAAGCGATCACATCGCCTATACAAATTGCACTGAAACTAAGCAGAAATGAGCTTGGAATACTGCTTAGAAACGGGCAAGGTTATAGAGGTTTTATATTTTCATATCATATATCACGGACATACAGGTAACAAAAGATGTCCCTATATTATTCCAACGCACTATGTGTCCAAGCTTGGATCATTTTCAAAAAAAAAAAAAAAGTTAAAACATTTCGTTTTTACACAGCTTGATTTTACTTTTCGTTTTTTGTTTAAACAATGCAATATCGCGATGTACTTACGGCTAAAGCAATAATTTAGAAATTGGAAACAAAGAAAACGACCCCAACGGGACATTCTTTCAAATTCCACTACATTTATTCTTTTACTTGAAGCACGGTACCCGACCGTTCCGTGAGAAGAAGGGAAAACGCTAGAGGGAAGGAAGAGACGGAGAAAGGGGGGGAGGGAGGGAGGGGGGGAGGTCGAGAGCTTTGTAAGGAAGCCGCTAAGAGAAAGGTGGGCGAGGGGGGGGGGGGGGGTATAGGGGAATTACGGAATTACAGAATAAAAAAGGGGTTTCACAAGCTGCCCTCTTTGTCTTGCCGTGTTCGTCGACGCTTGATGTCCTCTGTTGGCCTCGCATGAGTATCTGCAATTCAAAAGGGAGAGCTCTACGGAACACAAATCGCAGTTCCTGGAGGTTCACTTCTAAGTATCTGAAAAAGGAGTATGCCGCTCGTTCCAACAACGAACAACAAAGCCGTTTATCCTATTTTCAAATACACACTTGAAACAAAAAAAAACGATATTGTCTTGTGCCTGCTCTTCTCAGCGTGCACCCAATCCTGCGCCCACCAACGAATGCTGCACTAACAATTGATTTTAGTTAGTGCCGCGGGCAGCCTGCACTAACAAATTGATTTTGGCCACCTCGCAGACACTGGCCACCAGGCAAATATTGGCACTAGAACCCCGGCCAAAGTCAGTCTCCAACACATCACCTGCCACAAGAACTCCACCTCGCATTCCATGCATTCACACGACATCCAACCGCCTCAAAGCACTTGTCTCCGAATTAGCCACAGAAGTTGGATTCATGTGCAAATCTAGGTTCTGCCACATGAGCATGACTGTGAACAGGGAGGAACCCCCACCTCCTAGCTGCACCAAAAAACATGCAGGCGAGTTCACCGCCTGTAAGACAAAGGTGTACGCGATTTCCCCGTCCTGCGGAGCAGACTATATCGGTCCTCGGAGCTGGACATTAAAGGCCGACCTGCGAAATATTTTTGAAACATGTCAAACGTTCTCCTCGCCACTCCTCCCATTTACTCCTCATTCACTTTTTAACTTGACCGTGATGGGCGCTGCCTTTTGTTGCTACATCTTGGGGTCGGATAAACCGTAAACTTATCCGTGATTCTACGGCCATGATAACCCCCCGGCCGAATTTAATGCAATCGGAGCCGGTCCTTGAACGAATGGCTCCAAGAGCATCAAATGGACGCGAAGAAGGCTGCTTCAGATTCCCAACACCCGATTTTATTCATCGGAAAAAATGCACTTGCTGCGCCCCTAATTTTTCCGCCACGACGACCCTGGATGGCCTCTCGGAGCGCATCGGGCAAGAAATAATCGAAGCCTTTCGGATCACGACAAGCTTGCGGAACATAAATACTCAATCCCTCTCGCTGTCACCGAAGGAGTAGGCCGTCTTGAAGACGACGATGGACGTCGAGCGATGACGAACACGGCGAGATAACAAGCTAAAGCTGAAGCCTCGGCGAGTTGGTATGACATAATTAAAAGGTTAAAACAGCGCAAAAAACGACGGACAGGGTAAAAAAGAACACGGACAGAGCGCTGACTCGCAACTAAATTTTTACTGGACCCAACGGTGCAATATATACGCACAAATGAGAACAAAAAGAAGAAAATCAGCCTAAAAACACCCAAAACAAAAGCACGAAAAACGAAGTATTACATCTAAAAAGACAAACAAAGGGCACGCTCTTCAACCAAGCTAATCAAGTGGCCAGAAAATGAATCTCCTTTGATAAGGCAACAGAAGGGCTGCTGACACCCCCCCCCCCCCCCCCCCATGACTCCCAATCTTTCTATATCTAGAGCCTCCGAAATTTCACGTATCAGCTGATCTCTGTGACGTTTAGCGAACTCGCACTGTTGTAACTGAGGCTGGCATCTGCAGTCACGGCAATGTATGCCGAGGTGACCGAAAACCGTCGAAGAGACGTTTTAAGCATGTTCCCTTAGCCCGTCATTGAGACAGCGACCTGTCTGTCCGACATAACGCCTGCCGCAAGACAGAGGGAGTGAATACACAACTCCCTGTCCCTGTCCTTCTTTACCCTGTCCGTCGTTTTTTGCGCTGTTTTAACCTTTTGAGATAACAAGGACACAAGCAGGGGCGGCTGCGTAGACCCTGTTCTTTCCGTAATCTCAAAATTTACGCCCGTTCCCCCTCTCCTTTCTTCTTTGAGGGTTCCTGCAATCCTCTCGATTCCCCCCCCCCCCCCCCTTCTTTCCCCAAACTCTTTTCATCTCCCTTCTTTCCACGGAGCGGTCGGACACCGTGCTTGAAGTCGAAAACAAATGTAGTGCAAATTGTAATATTGTCCCGTCTGTTTTGTCCCCCATATCTCTCTCCTTTCTAACTGTTCAAAATGCTACGAAGACCGCTCAGGTATTTCAACAACTATAACTGCTGCCGATTGTGATCTTTCTTTGAGATATAGTACTACAGAGTCACATTGCATAATTAAACATACATTAGGATTGATTTTGCGTGTGTAGTTATTTTTGCCCTCATATACCCCATTTGAATTTATAACGCCGCATCAGGTATACATGTTAATAAATGGATAAGGTATAGACCGGCGCGCTGTTTACAAACAAGCCCGCATTTGCCCACACCAGGTTTGTGCGCACTGCACGTGCGCACAAACCGAATTCACGTGACTTGAAGCGTCTGTGCATGCGCAGTGCCGCCCACAGTGCCACCGCAGCTGCGTGACGTCTGGGCCGCTTGTTGGTCTATAGAAATCTCTGCGCTTAATATTCATATTTTAATTTGTGTCTACATTTTTCGCAGGTTCTGCCAAGATCGGGGGAGTGTGCCAATATTGCCGTGTTGCCGAAACAGAAGACCAGCCTCATACATACATTATGGTCAGCACTCTTGCCCACGAATGGGGACACTCGTAAGTACACGCATAAAAAAAATCATGGGCCTCTATTACTTTCAGGCAGAGTGTCGAACCGATATTTTATAGGTTCGGTTCGGGTTCCTGGCTTTCGGTTAAGTTCCGGTTGACCTCCGCGGAAAAAAAAAACGCTTCAAACCCGTTCGAACCGGTTCGAACAGGTTTGCACCGCTAAATTAAGAATTTATTTTTCGCGATATTTCGGCAATAGGCACTTTTTCCGCAGTTAAAACGAGTAACTGTGTAGTTGTTTATTGTTCGTACAATCCACTTTTATTTTTAGGTACAAAAAATAAGAAATTGCGTTATTTATTTTGACGCAACAGTAAAATAAAATCTAGCATAACATACAGGACGTCGTGTTTATATGACTGAGCATCCCTTTGTTTACCTCAGTCGTATATATTTTGCCTTAATCGAAAGGTAGTCACGAAGTACGGTAGGTCACCTAAAATACCCATGATTAAAAGTATTAAAAGCTTAATCTTAGTTTGCTCTTCAACTAGGAAATTAATTGCAGCGCAGAAAATTATGAAATAGCTATCTCGCCGCCGTATATATCATGAAATATACTTTACAAAATACGTTTTTCAATATACAGGGAGCGTCCGTGAGGACCAACGCCTTGCGAAATTCGATTTCCAAACTTACATATCTGAATTTGGCGCGCGGACGTAGTTTCCCAGAAGTTTTATGTCCAATTTGTTTCTGTAGAGCTCAATTTTAAGGTAGTGAAATATTAAAAATAAAGCCAAATCGGAGACCGTGCATTTCCTGTGTCCTGTACCAGCCTGTTTGTCGTCTGCACACTGGCTTCTGAACTCACTCCCGGGTAGCTTGCTGAACGCAAAAACGCCGACACTCAATAGCAGAGGCTGGCGATGAGCAAGATAATCGCGATAATTAATACTTTTAACGAAATATATAAATAATGTCCACCTGGGAGCAAGCCCACAAGTCAGTGTAAAGACGATCAACACCCAGTACATGGCATAGGAAAATGTACGATCGCCGTTTTTGCCATCTTTTAATATTTTGCTTTAGCTCTAAAAAAAAATCAAACCTGCTCGCGGAACTACCTTCGCGTGTCCAATTTCAGGTATGCACGTTTCGAATTCGAATTTCGCAAAGCGTGCCAAATGTGTTAATCCATACGGCTGCACTTTGTATATGATGACGACGCTACTGAGATAAAAGCAGTTGAAATATTTATGACAAACGCATGTGTTTGCAGTCACTCTGGGTCAGTGACATACCTTTTATAGAAACGCTGACAATTAGAACGCTTGTTTTTGCTAACTAACAGCCTTCGCACTCAGCGCCGTGATGCAGGCGAAAACTCATGTCGAAAAAAGTGATCAAAATGGTTCACTATAACTTATACGCAGCTTCGCACTCAGGTCAAATTTGGCCTAAAATAGCGCGTACTCAAGTGAACAGTTTTCTTATACAGAATAAACTGGCAAAGCCCCGGTTTCGAGGTTTGTTCTTGAAAAGAAGCCGGTCAATTCCATTTGAAAATAAGCATGGCACTTGCTAATTGATATTTTATTTATTTATTACATACTGCAGGCCTTGATTAGGCCCTTGCAAATGTGGGTTACATATCAAAAGCATACAATTCATAAAAAAAGACACACTTCAATATTTCAACTATTCTTTTATATACCTAACAGTAAGAAGAATGGCAATGACTATCGGAATAAACGATCAACGTACCGATCCAAAACATGTAAATATATTTAAAGAAAACAAGGTACCATTCAAAATTCCAATTATCGTTTTACGTAACTAACGGTAAGGAGAATAGCAATGACTGAGAATATACAATCAACGCTCGAATACAAAAATGCGACAGAAAATATAGTGATCATTGAGTGCTCTACTAAAGTTAGGAAGATAAAAAGAAAATTATAGGGCAATGTGTTCAAATTAGACATAGTGCGGGGAAAAAAATGACAACCTGAAAATGTGAGTTCGAGCAAATTTAAGCTGAAGAGAAGAATCATGGGGGTTCCTAGAACAAAATAGTTTTTCATGCTCTACTCGACATGACAGCTCTGACAGTCTGCGTGCGTAATCTTCATAGTTCCGTCACGCCTCCCTGTGGACTTTGTTTTGTCCAGCCCATAGAGTTATTATAATGTACACATCGCGACACTGTTAGCGCGAACACGACATCGGCGCATTTTGGTATTTTACTTTTAAATAGTATTAGCGAGCACGAAATTTATCACTTAAATTATAGAACTAAATGAGCTCTTTCGGTAGCGATAATAACTTGGATGGCATCCCTTGGTTCTAAAGAGAAAAACTGGAAAAACCGGCGATCGCTTGTTCGCGCTAACAGTGTCGCGCTCTTTACGCTAGAGGTTCAACTGGCGCTAGTGTGCTGCTACAAACTGAAGCAGACAGCAACCAGTCCGAAATTCACTCCCAGTATTGCATCTCTATGGGAAAGAGCGAGTGCATTTTCTCTCTGCGCTCGATTATAAGAGCAAATATCACGAGTAATTGTTTGTACTAGGTAGCTTGAAAGATTTCTCAGTCACGCAGACGAAATAATTATCAGTTGCAGCGTTTTTGTTTGAAATTGGAGGCATCAAAAACGGTGCTATAAACGCTCCGTACGCGTATTTATGTGCACTGACGGACACTGTTAGCGCGAACACGGCGTCGACGCTTTCCAGCATGGGAGATAAACGCGCCAAACGAACGAAGGACGTCTGGAAAACCAAAAGAGACGGCAAGAACAACGCAGTAACACTGAATAAGTAACTCCTTGTGTATGCAGACGATCAAAATAAATTGAAAGCCACGTAATATAGTCAGATTTGCAATAAATAAGTACTGCTTTATTTTTTCTGCTCATGAATATGTGCGAAGATGCTTGTTCTCGGTTCAAATCATCACCCGCACGCTCCAAATCTTTGCAAATAGGGCACAGACAGAGAACAGGTTCCCGATTAAAACTGCGAGACATAGGAAATAATGAAAAGACACACCTTTCGTAGCCCTATTTTTTAACAGATCGTAAAGATGCACGACGGAGTCATTTTGATATAGTGACAAAACGGGCATATGAGCAATATATAAGCGTCACCAGAATGCTAGCGAACCTTGAACTCACTCTACATTCCTTTTGATTGTTTTTTGCTTTGAATCGTCGCTCGTTTCTGCATACCTGCCATAGAACAGAGGTTTGGGACTGAAATATAGCGAAGTTTAGCATCGTTCGTACGTAAAGGAAAAACGCTGTAACTAAAGCAATTGCACTTTCGCAATAACAATAAAGGTAGATACCATCCGGTACAACCAAAATAACAAAAGTTATTCGTGTTATTTTCCGGTGAAACGACAAAATTCACGCGGGTTTTCCTATAGGAATGGACAAGAGCAGCGCAAAAGTAAACTGGTTGCTGTCTGCTTCAATTTGCCTCCCGGAAGTCGCATAGACACTAGCGCCAGTTGAACCTTTAGCGTTTATTATAATAACTTTATGGTCCAGCTCTAAGACACAGAAAATTGGTGTCGTCACATTAGCGAGGCAATAACATATTTTTATTGAGTACAAAAAGAGCGTGTTGGTAACAGTAATTAAACATGAGAAAGGTACATAGAAAGAGAAGACGGACAACGAAGACTTTTTCGTTGTCGGTCCGCCCTTTCTATAAATCTTCCTCGTGCTTAATTAGATGTCTATATGTTTAAAAAGTTATATATGTGTGAGGAACACAGTTATTTAACGCTACTACAAATCACTTCGGGCCTATCGCGGATAAAAATGCGAAAAAAGATTTGCACAGCATCTTTCAGATAATTTGCGGGTATATTTACTTAGGATGTTCATCTTCAAGGTGATCGACCCTTCATTTATGTTGTATTACCCTCAGTCAGTAATTAAATATAGTTTTATTATTATCAATACATGTGACTCTACTAGGTTCATATAACTAAAACGAATGAATTGACGGGCTAGTTAGCTGCGTATTTTATCCCTTCTATGCGCATAGCGCATAGAAGGGGTAAATTATTTATTTGCAAGATAGCGCTCGTTTGCGTTTTACTTCTTCTCTGTCCCGCCTTTTATGTGGTACTATTTTACCGTGTCACATAACTGCTTGAGACCGATACGGGAGGAAGATACTTGAATAAACCAGCTGCTAAAAGCTGTGGGAACATGTTTTTTTTTTTTTTTTTTTTATTTCGCCATTCGGCAGTGTGAAACAAAAGGTCACTGCTCGTGCACGAAATGGGCAGAAAAAGAACGATAATAAATGGTAATCTTCAAGAGAATCTAATGCATGACGCCTTAACGCAAAAAGAAATTTGTAGAGATATAATGATATTCCTAATTGCACATAAACAACCTGAAGGACTAGACGAAGGTTCTTATATCACTAACTTAAATTACAATTGGCCAGCAGTTTGCATGAACTCGAAACTTCAGGAAAAAACGCCTCGGGGGGCTAATGTTACATTCGGTTTGACGTGCACTTGTTTTTGGGACTTACTTTACAACTTTGTGCTTTCAGTCATGCGCTCTAACATTTTGTTTGTCTGCTATCTTTCATCGCGAGACTGCTATCTACCGTATACTGCACACATTTACAATTCGGATATCTACTTTTGCTAGTGTTGCGAACATCGGATTTCAGGATGAAACTAAACTGTTTAAAGGGGCACTGACACCCCAAAGGTCGTATTTTTTTATTGTCTAAAACAATGCAAGTTTCAGTCATAGACACGCAAAAAAATCGCGAAAAAAAATTTCCTCGCGCGCGCGCGCGACTTTTTATTTTTGGCGTTTGATTCTCCCGCCTCTCGCCGCCTCCTCGCATCTTTTGATTCGTGACATCAGAATCATAAAATTTAGAAGCTTTGTAGGCGACATCTCTATAACATTTAATAATGGCAATCTTAAAACATGTTTTTTAACGCAACTGCAAACGACTACGGCCCTTCTTTTTGAAATACCAAAAATCGGGAGTTTGTTG